GTTTTAAACAAACATGATCAAGACTTATTCTTTATTATAGTAAGTAAGTTGTTTGTGTTCTAATAGTGTAGGCTGTGTAGCCGAGTTAATGTCCTGCCAATAGAATATATCCTCTCCAACACAATGTAACAAACAATACGGAGAGTAGAATCTCATCTACGGATAACATCTGTGGGACAGTGTCAAACCAAAACAAAGACACTGTCCAATTTGTCCATGTCTATAAGTACACTAGTACAGCTTTGCAATCAGAATGGACCTATGTTAACAGTGATTCATAAAAAAAAAAGAAAAAGAAAAAAAGAAGAAGATTATAATCGATCGATTTTCGATTATAATCGATCATCGGGACATCACTAGTAGTCACATCGCATGCTTGTAGCATACACTATTACAGTCTATTACACTGTTTTACACTGTGCATACCGTACAGCAGGCCACGGTGCATGCGTCCCTCGTCCCTGCCCTCCTCGCGATCACGCTTCAGCATCGTACGCTCGGCCGCCTGCCGGTCCGTCTCAGACAGCAGGCTGAAGTCGGAGTCATCCAGGATCTCTGGGTCGTATCGGTCGAGCGCCGGGATCGCCCGATAGTCGCTGAAAGTGATTAATACGTCACCGTAAATAGTAAAAGTAAAAATTATGTCCCCTTTTTCTGTGGGATAAAGTGATTCTGTTCATTTTTTTATGGTTAAAGGAATACTTGCCTCTAGGTTCTAGGGTTATTTTTAGTTGATTTAGGTAAAAATTATGCTTCATAAGTTTTATGGTTCAATATTTATTAGAAATATTTAAAAAAAAGGTTTTACAACTGATGGCTATACGGTTGCTTACAATGACGGTGGCGCCACTGCCAGCGCATTCACAGCAAAGTTGTGCAAAGCAACGTTTCGGCTGCAGGCTACAGACCGAAGGTGTTTCTTATTTATTAACTTAAGAGAAGAAGGATTGCAATATCTTATAAACAACATATAGTTTCAGTTATAATTAGTGGTGCGCGGTATTATCGGTATGCCGGTATATCGCGGTACAAACTCAAAATAATACGTATCGCGATACATTCTTGCTGTACCGATTCCCCCCCCCTCCCAGGCGCCCCCCCGCGGCGGCGCGGTGCCGGCGGGGGAGCAGGATACTAGCCGTTTACATAGACTTGTAAATGGGAGTGCATTCTAATACGCCACGTTCCTGAATGTAACATATGATTTACAGAAGTTACATAAATTAGTTAGAGACGTGGAGTTTGGCTAGACTCAGAATGTTTTAGTGGTAGTCTATGTAGACAGAGCGTCGCGCATCTTGTGCGGGTACGATTGATGTTATAGGGAGAATGGTAAACGTGTTTTAGGTCGGGCGTTTCTAGGGTCATTGTGAAATGGAGGTAAGACGTGGTCTGGGAGAACGGGTGACATGTGCGCTCAGGATGTAGGGCCTAAGGGGGTTTGGGGGTAATATATAGAAGCGAGATTAGAGAGAGGGGGAGGTATGAGTGGAGGAGTCTGGTTGTGGTCGCAGGAGTAAGCAGTGGCACACGCGCTTACGCGCGTTTCTTTGGCTCTCTGTGCAAGATGTGACTACACTGTGTGTCAGATATTAAAGTTTATTCAGTTTAATACACAAGTTTGGATTCTTTCTTTATTTATACATATCAAACATAATTCAATGTTACATGAACAGAGACGGGGGATATCCAAAACATCTAGAGTTGTTGACTCTATCTTATTTGATTCAACTTTTGTTGCTTTCTGTATTTCCGATATAGTCCCTTGGACTTTGAAGACGAATATTTACGAGGTTACGATGCTAACCTACTAGCTATATAATATCAGAAGTAGATAATAGAGAACTACTATTATCTACTTCTGATAATGTATTTCTATATTCTCTTGCATCCGTCATCGACGTTGACGATAGCGCCACAAGCGGCGCTTCGTGGTGCATTATGGGTGCGAAAAGTTTCGCGCGCTTTGTGAGCACTCACGTGGATCGCGTTGTTTATATACTCGCGATAGTGAACCAAAAGTATGGCGGTAAGTACATCTGATCTGTGTTATCGTCTATTGAATCAATTGATGTAATCAGTGTGGCACTTAATTTATAACCATCATTTACGTCCGCAAGAATCAGAACGCTATCACTGAGTAACTGCGTTACATTGTACTGTCATTAGAAACACTGTCAATAGAATTACTGCTCGTAAAAATGTCGCACTGTAGCCTGTAGCCGTGATAGGCCCTATTTGGGGCAATGTCAATGAGATATAACTTTGACTAGGAGCTAGTTCTGTCGTCAGTGTCTATAACACTGTCTATAATTTTATTTGACTCACTTCGTGACTGTCAACAGCCACGCCAACTACAGGCTTATGCATCACATATTAGAGTTTGTATTTATGGTCTAAGAAACACACAACGTTTCTACAGAATTTACGAATTATTCGAACAGTATAAACACGGCCAAATCCTATTTGACAACCCCAGGTTTAAAACCAGTAACCCTAACCCTAACACTAACAACTCACGACATGCGGTTGTGTAAGCGATTACTTTGACCGACAATACATGCAACCTTGTGCCAGCATGGCTGTGATATGCCAGGGTTCTCCCAGGATGAAATTTCAAACAGGGGGAGGGGAGGGGAAGGGCGTGAGGGGGGCGGAAACATAAGGGGCGTGTTTTTTCACCGTACCACTAATTAATGCGGTAAAATCGCCACCACTGCCATAGCGGTTATTTGTGGGTTCTTGTAAGTTGCTATATATAGATTAGCGAGTCGTGTAGTGCAGTTAGTGTTGGGGTGTGGCGGAGACAGCGTTGACTGACTTGTAGTGTATGCAGTGCATGGTGGTACTGTAAAAATACAGCCGGCCGGGTAATCCTGTCGAAATTGTACTTTCTTGGACGATCGAATTCCTGCCTGGCAGATTTTATATGTGGTGGAATTTAATCGGCGGCGGAGGTATTTTAAACGGGGCGGCAAGCGATTGGAAACAGGGGGGAGTTTTCCCAAACGCGCGCGCCCCCGTTTGCCGCAAACGTAGGGGAACCCTGAATGCTAGCTGGCATTTTTATCGTAAACTATACTAATATGTATACTAATCTGTAATTAGGCTATGTTCAGCTGACTTAATTAGTCTCTAGCTGTCAGCTTATTACTCCCAAGGTTCACCAAAACAGACCGTCTTGCTTGGACTGGGTGTATAGACAGTCGTGCAGTCGCTACGCGGCCAGTGTCTCTTTTTTCCATTGGCTCTTTTTCACAAACCATTATTATCACGTGCTATTTATTATTTATTATTGCATATACTGCTAAACAGTCTTCATTCCAAACAATAACTTTTGAGCAAATAATTGCATAACTTAATGAATCTTTCCCCCAACTTGGATGATGGGATCTCGAGCGTGTGACTACTCGCGCGTTCTCTATCTCTCCCTGCAGGACGAAGCATCATCGGAGCCTCTCTCTGGTCGCGACGTTGGAGTGTCGAGCCCCGCGCACGACCTTCCCCCCTTCGAGGATGAGTCTGAGCGTCTGTTGGGGGACGACAGCGAGGGAGGTGCCATCGCGGAGGAGGAGGAGGAGGAGGAAGAAGGGGAGGAGCTGTTCGGGGACAACCTCGAGGCGTAAGTGTAACATGCGCGAGAGATTCCCCCTCGTCCAGGGGTCGAAAATTAGCGGTATTCCGATTCCCGCGGAGATACAGATTCTTAGGCGGGATACCAGATTTCAATGCTTGGGTTATCCCGCCGCCGGATAGCTAAAAAAAAATCGTCAGTTAATCGGGATAGTGCGTTTGTTAGCTCATCTGACATAGATCAGATGCCAGCTTGGTAGAATCGCATGATCTGTCCGTCCGCTCGTCCGTTCCGTTGCGTCCCGTCCGTGCGTCCGTCCGTCGCGTTCAACAGTTTGGCGCACAATCTAAACGGTCCGACGTAAAGGTTTCACGATATTCGGGAGTGGGTGGTTAATCCGGAAAATGCAGTTGGGATGATGTCGAAGCTGTGTCGGGGTCACACAGGTCAAAAGCGGTCCAAAGGAGGTGTAAGAAGGGGGGAACATAATCCCTCCCATTAACTTTTAAGTATTAGGGGAGGAAATGCAGAATTTGCGGACAAATCTAAACGGGCTCCGGACCTAGGTCGTAGATAGTCGGTGTATTAGCATCATGGTAGGAAAACGCCATCAACTGTGCCGAAATTGGAGGCTCACAGGTCAAGGTCAATGGGGCACGGGCCAGATTTTAGACATTTTCTGGGACATGGTGTACCGAGCGATTGGAAAAACTTTTTTGTTTCAGCGATGACCTACATAGTTATTGGGAAAGGACCATTGAAATGTGCTTTCCACTTTGACGTTGCGAGAGTAACGTGTCTGTAACCTTATTGACCCTCAAGAGGATGGTTAAAACATGGATTTGTTGACTGTCTAACAGGAGTAAAATTGCTTTTGCTATTTAGAGCTCCTCCTCCCCACCTCCCAGCCTTCCCCCAACCCCTTCCCCACCCTTCCCCCCCCTCCCCCACCCTCCATTCTGCACGATAGTGGGCTTGTTCCTGAACAATGATGTGTACGCAACTGCGTGTCTGCATTATCTGCCGCCTAACCAAATGTGGTACTACGACACGACTGAATTTTACGTTATATCATCGTACGAGCAACAGACCTTCAGATGAGCCCAGACGCTCTGCCGGCTCTTGTTGAGCTATCAACGTTACTATGAGCAGGCCTCTTAGCGATGTGCGAGAGCGTGCCTTAGTTTACTAATTTACTATGCACACACTAGCGTTTGTATTACAGCAGCGTATAGCGTATTTCCAGCGCAAGCGTGGCCCGATGTTTATCATAATGTTGAACCTGTTGTTATAATTGTATTTTCATGATTGTATCAAAGCCGAACCAGCAAACTGCGTCTAGGACATACGTCTGCCAGGTGTACTGCTGAAGCGCGCGTATGTAATCATTAGATATATATATACATAACACCTGTGTTTGTTATATCATATGGTAATGAAAATGGTCTGAGATGCATCAGCCACTAATGATTAGACGCAGGGAGCGAGGATTTTTATATATAATTACATTACATATTAATAATTTTCCAATGCTATTATTGCATATTTACAATGGATTTTGGTTAACCAACATTGTTGAAATTTACGTATCCAAAAATCCAGCGGATTACCAGATCTTTTGGGGGGATACCAGATTTCAAATACCTGGGTATCCCGAATGGAATACTAATAAAAATCTTATTTGACCCCTTGCGCTTCGACGGAGGTCGAGGGGTCGGGGCAACGGAGCGACGCCTAGTGAAGAGAGAATCCCTAAACGCGTGAATGCCTTTTCGTCGCGGGGAAACTTCTCGTACTCTGGGTGATGGGGAGAGAACAGTTGTTTTCCCGGTCAGTCGTTTCTTGGCGGTGTTTCCTGCCGCTGATGATGCGTGATGCGGGGCAGGGTAATACAATACGGGAGCGATGGCCAGATTCGCTCTTTCAACCTCCGAAATCGCTCCAGTGAGGCTCAAAATAGCTCCCGTAAAAAGTTTTTGGTGAGAAATATTTTTTCCACAGACTTGAAAAAGAGCTCCCGTGAAAAAAAAAATTCCCCCCTGACGCGGGAACATCTCATCGCAGGCCTCCTCTGTTCCCTGCTCACTTGTGTTGATCGTGAATATGTTTCAACAAGTGATTAATGGCAGGCAGCACTAATAACCCAGTTTGGCATCAATTACATTAATGAATAGCATGATCGATTTAAAAAAAAGCAGGCCGAGTGAAGCGGTGAGATGGAATGCTTTTGGCTAGGCATCTATTTTTGTCTCGCGTTTCTTCGAGGCTAACACTGGTGGCGAGTGCTTGGTCGCGGTCGCCTGCCCACGCGGCCGTCGCCGCCGGCGACACACTTGGTGTCACTGGGTCGTGCCTCGCTCCCACGATAACCCCTGCGATTATGCACTTATTGTTATGCGGTCATAAAAATACTGCGGCTGCCGTACAATGCTGCAATATATTCTGTAGACTGCCGCAAGTTTTTGTTTTCGTGTTGGCAAATCATG